AGCCAGGAACGTGCGGGGGCACCTAAACGCCCTCAAGGGAGCCAGCACAAAATGTAGGGGCTATGTGATGAACGTCGTCATGTCGAATCTTTTGTAGACCTTGAGCCTCACTTGTCAGAGACCGAGCCAACTGACGGCAGTCTTCAGTGTATCTGGCGACTTCAGAAAGTGGAGAGCACTCAGATGCATCAGGGCGGTATGGGAGTATAGTGTCCAGTGGGTGCGAAGGTTCGCGGCCGTACAACAGAAAGAACAGGGAAAAACCGGTAGTCGCTTGCGTCGCGGTGTTATGAGCGAAGGCAACAAAAGGTAATACAGCGTCCCAGTTAGTGTGGTCGGAGGAGGTGTACATCATCAGCATGTCGCCAAGTGTGTGGTTGAACCGCTCAGTGAGACCATTGATTGTGGATGGTTTGAGGTAGATTTCTGGCGGATGATGTTGCATTCAGCGAGGATAGCTTGGATGACCTCCAACAGGAACACTCGACCCCTATCACTAAGTAATTCCCGTGGAGCACCATGGCATAGAATGAAGCTGCAGAGAATGAAGTGTGCAACTTCGTGGGCAGGTCACTGCCGGTAGAGCTGCAGTCTCAGCGTAGCCTGTCAGATGATGAACGCCAACAATAATCCGCCAGCTTCCAGAGTCACTATATGGGAGGGGGCCATAGAGGTCGATACCCGTGCGGTCGGATGGGCGAGCCGGGCACGGGTGCGCATGTAACATGCCAGTAAGGTGCCGCGGAGGTGTCTTGTTCTGTTGGCAAGTGGTGCAAGACTGAACGGATTTCTGCACAAAGCGATACATTCCTTCACCAGTAATGTCGTTGGCGCAGCCTTTTGTAGGTTTCAGGACACATGCGTGAGCACTTAGGGGATCTGCATGGAAATTCATGCAGATATCATAACGCATATGAGTAGGGACAGCAAGAAGCCACTTCCGACCACCAGGCATGTAGTCGCGGCGGTGCAGAATGTTGTCTAGCATGGAAAAAGTGGGCTGCTTGCTGGCGTAACGCTCTCGTGAAAGGGACAGCAGACGTGGGCATGCAAGATGGAATTGATCATGCGCTTCAAATGTCGCAGGCGCGTCGCAGAGCCCGAATAGCATGATTTTGAACTCATATAGGCCATCCAGCGTTACAAAGGCTGTTTTAGGGCAATCAGATTCAGCCATTGGCACCTGCCAATACCCAGAATGCAGATCCAAGGATGTAAAGTACTGGGCACCTTGTAAACAGTCAAGAGCAACATCTATTCATGGTAGCGGGTAGGCATCTTTCTTCCTAATCTTGTTTAAGCGGTGATAGTACACGCAAAATCGAACGGTGCCATCTTTTTTCTTTACCGGAACCACAGGTGATGACCACGGGCTTTGAGAAGGCTCTATGACTCCACATTTAAGCATGTCATCTATTTGCTCCGTAATGACGCGGCGCTCTTCGATGGAAACGTGATAAGGACGCTGTTGCAGAAACAAGTGTGAGCCGGTGGCAATAGTATCAGTAATAGTCGTGGTGCGGCCCAAAGCAGGTTCTTGAAAGTCGACAGAAGAGCGAAACTTGTTAAGGAGAGCAACAAGTTGACGGCGCTGCGAGAGGGGAAGGTCTGCGTCAATAGCATTTTCGAAGGCTGACGAACTTGGTGGCTCAGACACATGAGTGATTGGGGCCATGTGACATGGCGTTTTGCCGGGAAGAATAATATCACCGATATGGTCGACACGTTGCATATGTTCTAAGGTTTCACCACGAAGTAAGCCAATGTTAAGGAGGGCAACAAGTTAACGGTGATGCGAGAGGGGAAGGTCTGCGTCAATAGCATTGTCGAAGGCTGACGAACTTCATGGCTCAGACACATGAGTGATTGGGGCCATGTGACATGGCGTTTTGCCGGGAAGAATAATATCATTGATATGGTCGACAGGTTGCACATATTCCAAGGTTTCACCACGAAGTAAGCCAATGGGGTAGTTGCAGTGGTTGGTAACCAGCATTAACCTAACCTATTCTAACGTAACCTAACCTTACCTGACCTAACCTAACCTAACGTGGAATGGCAAGAACAGCAAATAGGAGAACAATGCCGTTGCGTTCAGTAAAAACTGGAGATGGCGTAAATACGACCGTGGCGTCAGGTTGCGCCACACAAGAAAGGCTAATAGGAACTGAAGCTTTGGAAGGAGCGGTGATGTCGTAGTCAGCGATGAGTTTGCAGAGCAGAGGAGAACAATCGGGCGATGGAAATTCACATGTTGGCACAAAGGACACTTCCGCACGTGAACAATCGATGATAGCTTCATCACGTGATAAGAAATCCCAACCCAGGATGAGGTCATGAGAGCAAGGTGGTAGAAAAAAAAAAAATTGGACGATGTACAAAACGTCTTGGATGACGACGCGCGCCGTACACACAGCCGAGGGATCAATGCAATGTGGGCTAGCCATGGACAGCACCATGCCACAGAGAGATGTGGTCACTTTCTACAGTCTCTGACAAAATTTTGCGTTCATCACAGAAACGGTGGCCCCGGTATCAATTAATGCTAGTGTGGCGACTCCCTCAACATCGACATCAATAACATTTTGCAGCAAAAATGGAGGCCCTGAAAATTGCGCAGAAGTTGCAGTTCTTGCCCCCGGAACTGCACTGATTAGTTTTCCTCCTCGGGAGGTGGTCGACGACACATAGGCGATGGCGATCGGCGACGAGGGGATGGGAAACAGGCAGTTGATAGGCGGCGATCCGAGTCGGAGTGCTTTTGTTCATATGCAGACGTGGTGGCCTGCTGCCGCACGTAGGTAGGAGTTTCGAAGGAGGCGTACGCAGGTGTGGGACGGTGGCGGCAGAGGCGTGCAATAAGGCCAGAGATGTCACACGCGAAGCAGATAGGACGGTTGTCACGGGTGCGCCACTCATTAGATTGACGGAAAAAGTGTGGTGGGGGCCTGTAAACTGGAGGCGAGGCCGGAGGAGGTGGAGCCGATAAGGAGACTGGATGTGGTGGGAGCTGCACGACCACTGCTGCGTAGCTGAGAGGTGAAGGTGGTGCAGGTTGTGCGTAGCCGGCACTTGAGAGTTCAGGTCAGCGCAGAGCTTGCGGACCTCGGTCGGCCGAACGCTTCAGTCACGAGGGTCTTAAAGGTGGACCAGTCAGCAATGGCGGTTTCACTGTTGGTAAACCAAAGCTTAGCGATTTCAGCAAAGTAAAAGCTAACATAAGCAAGCTTAGAGGCGTCGTCCCACTAGTCGCTGGCGTTTACGCGTTCGTACAAGGAGAGCAAGTCTTCAACGTCTTGCTCACCAGTGCTGCTGAAGATCGGTAGGTCCTATTGACGGGTAATGCCGGAGCAGGTAGACGGGGCAGCCGATGGTGCTGGCTGTGCTGGTATGGGCTGGTTGGCGACTGCGCAAGTCATGTTGTGCGGTGGTCTCTCGGCCAACTTGCGAGAGCGGAGCTCCAGGTCTGCTTAAGGATCTCAGCAGCCTCCACCAAATGTGATGATGTTTATTCGATCAGAGAAGTCGCAATGAGGTCACAACGGAAAATGGTCGTACAGCAAATCTGGCAAAGGCGGCACAGGTTCTCGCGCAATCAGAGCGTGGGGCTTTTCGTTCTCTGAAGGTGCATACGCGTTAGTTTGTAGGCTTCACTACAATAAGTATAAAAAGAGCAATAACAAGTGTCAAATACATCAGTGCATTTTCATATTCCTTGCGCACGCCTAAATACAGTAGTCATTTTGCACAAGCAGTGGGAAAGCCACAGCTTTAGTCCTTCACATCTTCGCTCACAATGGGAACTTGACCTGAAACCTCCGTGTCTGAAGCCGAATAGTGGTCTTAGCCCATCCCTTTTTGTGTAACGCCACCACTGCAACCAGGCTTAGCGCACGCTATAGTTGTTTAGGCAGAAGAATGGTCAGCAACTGATTGTTCGTACATCAGTCATAATGTAGCTGATGAGTTTTGTGCACTAGGACTGTAACTGAAGCTCTTCAACAGCTTCCACCATGTTTGAGTTATGTAACAGTGCGGGCATTGCCTCTTATTCAAATACGGAGTGCTGCATTCTCGATGGATAAAACTGGATTTGCCGAAGGCACGATCGTAGTATCCATGCAGTTTGAAGGCACGTATGCGGGGCACACCCCCAGAGTTACAACAACAATTTTGGGTATGTCATCTGCTGCTGAATAAGCCTGGCTAATGCATAATCTTGCATGGTGACTGATGTGTTGTGATTATATAGCTATGATTGCACCCCGCTGACCAATAGAAGTTCACGTACTGTGTTTGACGGCAACCCTTGAACAAAGGACACATAAGCCCGACACTGATGAACAAAGATTGCAAGGCCTTCTGTTCTTCTATTCTTATTTTTCCAAATACACAAAGTTGTTGGCCAAATGGCCTGTTTCGCTTCTCTAGATGCAGTCAACAGACGTCCTGTGGATTACTACCCAATGACCTCACATCAAACCTTCACGGTGACCACATTTTTCGGGAAGCCCACGTCCATTTCAGTACGCAAATTCTTTTGTGATGCTTTGTCCTTAGCGTGCTCCGAGGATTGTCTGGATTGATTGGGTTGCAGAAAAATGTGACTAAATTATTGATAGTCTGATGCCGTTAAAGAATACATATGCTCTCCATAGCCAGGCAATGGATGAATTATTTTTTGAATTAACAGGGACTTAATGAACGAGCCCCTACGTTGCCGAAGAAAAAATTATGTCATGTTTCAGTTGGTGAGTGCTATACCTCCTCAGCATGTATCTAAGTGCAACAACAGTTCGCAACGCTTAAGGTTGTAACCTTGTGGGAATGTGTAGACGGGCATCTATTATATCGGCGTCTATGGAACTCTTGCACGTACCGGACGCCAGAAACATAGTACAGGGGAAAATATATCGGTGTAGTTTACGTTGCTGTGTTTAGACTTTTGAGGTTTTTTTTCCTAATTAAACAACGAGACGTGCTTGGCTTGCATCTTGCAGGATTCACTTTCTCAGCTACGACGGCACCTCCAGCGGCACCCGTCGCTTCTGCCCAACGACTTCGACTTTTGCCCGCAGACGGGCGCGCTTACCCTCGGTGCGGGCGCCGTGCAGCTGGGCGAAGATGAGATCGACCACGAGGAGGCCAGAGATGAGGAGGACGAGGACGAAGAGGAAGACGACAACAATAACAATAACAACAACTCGGACTCCTGCGAGCCGAGCTCCGAAGCCGACCAGAGCCTTTCGCACTCGGCATCAGCCGCTGGGGCCGCACTGCACTACTCGCCTGAGGTCAGTACAGTTCCACCATTGATGCCTGTTGACTTCCCTGAATTTACGTTAATGTTCACAAATTGAAGATTTTACAGAGGTGGGGTTGAGCATTTTTAAGCATTATTCTAATTTGTTGTGTTGTTCTTGAAACTTGAAGGGAATACTGAAACAAAATATTGCCATGCGCGATTCTTGCTTTATCTGAAGTACAGTTGAATCCTGTATCAGAGACATGCACTGGGAAGGAATTCTTCAATCTTGTGTTTTATATGAGGTGTCTTTTAAGCAGGGTACCACATATGCAGTATTTTTTATCAACATGTATTTCAGTGTAGAGCTGTAGGCACAGTAGTGTCTCTTATACCCATTTGTCTTTTATATCAGTGTCTCTTGTGAAGGATTTTATTCGAGCTTTCATCCACAAAAACTGTGGGAAGCACTCCTTACAGACCACATAACGTTCTAGAAGCTTCATAATTTCTTTAGATCTCCTGGTAAGATGACGTGCCAGGTGCAAACGGTCACAGTCAGTTCGACAGCTTACGCGAGCACCGTTCGTAATGCTGGAAGGTCCGATGACTGACGTATAAATGACGACACGTTTCAGAGATGATCAGATTACCAACAGCTGACACTTCTGTTCACCACTGTCAGTGCACAACGTGTATTGCTTTTACTTGCCAGGCACAAGTCTGGCGCAAGTTTGGGCACAGGTTGCCGGGCACAAATAAAGGGTTTCCGTTTACGGAGACATGAAAAACAGTGGAGCATTCAAGTACAAAACCAATCACTTTAGAGGCTTCAGCAGCAGTTTCGTTAAAGAGATTTCTGTTTATGTAGAGTCCACTGTATTTGTTTGTGCTTCCAAACAAGCCGTGCATTTCTAACCATCTTTTTTTTTTTGCTTCTGATGAAACAAATGAAACAAACTTCTTCGCAGCTGAGTGGGTCGTCGGTGGTGCACTGTGGAGGCCGAGCGGTGACGACGCCGGGCTACTTGGAGGAGTTTGAGCGGGCGATCGTGCGAGGCGCAGCGGGGCGACAGGTGCTCCGTGTGGAGTTGGCCAGGCCGCCCGGTGCCAGCTTGGGATTCAGCGTCGTCGGACTACGGTCACCGTCTAGAGGCGAGCTCGGGATCTTTGTCCAGGAACTGCAGCCAAACGGCATCGCCCAGCGGTGAGTGCAGAGCCGGATTTTGCTGTAGTAGAGCCACGGTTTGTCTTCTTCGCGCAGCTGTGCCCGGTGGCTATGCATGGGGATGACAACCCGAGCAGCGACTAAAATCCTGTGCTAATGCGGTTCTTGTGTGGGCCTGTGTGTAGTTCTAAACTACGTGCTAAATACGAGGGAAAATGATTCTTGTGTGGGTCTTGGTGTAATTATAAATCCTGGGCTAAGTGAAGCTCCACAATTCTGAAACCTGAGGAAGTGTGTAACGTGGGCAACCTAGTGATTCCCTGGCCAATCGTGCGCTTGTTGAGGTGGGGGTGCCCTGTCCTCTCTTGCTTGGTCCATGTATCAGGCCGATTTTTCAGAGGCGTTTCTTGAGGTTTTGAGTCGATTATTACGAATAATTTTTGGTTACTTCTGTTGTTTATGTTGTTTTAGAATTGGCTAGTTTATTTTGCACTGGCTTTGAGCATTGCTAGGTTTGATAGAGGCCTGTATCAACCTCTGCATGACCATGCGACATGAGACAGTGGATAGATGACAAGCCAGGTGTCTAGAGTGCTGCGCACTGAACAAAAGTTGTCCAGAAATCTATATGAAGAAGAAGCCAGGCCTGCCTAGAAGACACCACAGTCACTACATAAGCTATGGAGTGGCTTTCATAGATGTTACCTGTTATCTCTCTTAGGATCTCTGCGAATACAGTTGTGGGGTACCCACTATGCAATCAATCGTCCGGCTTCACAAAGTACAGCGGAAATAACATTTCCGAGTCAAAGGCTTCATCTGAGTGATAAAGTCTTCTACACTTTCGTGCTTTCGTGCTCAAGCTGAAGCCTGTGGTCAAACCCACACCTCTCAGCTATAATTGATATTGGGGGGGGGGGGGGGGAGAGTTGTAATGATTGTTCAATAGAACCTTGACTTCATCAAAAGTCTGCTTCTCAGGAAGTGATGGGACAACCGAAATTCTCCAGTACTTCACACACCTCCACCCTAACCACTACCAAAAATACTAAGGGTTTTTTCTTTTCAGCTATGTCATCCCGACCTCGACATGTATGCAGAAGAAAACAGAGTGGAGAGGCACTTACCGTATTATAGCCTTCTAGAGGTTTCACTGTTCGTTGTTGCGTTGCCAGGCCCACATCATTTGCCACTGGTGAAAACAACTTACGCGTCACATGCAGACACCTGGTGCATTGGGTAGACAGCCAAAGCAATGTCCTAGCACCGTCTCCAATAGCTTTCATGTTGCTGAAACGCCTCCCATAGATGTCGGCTCCCAGTGGCTATTCGATGCTAGGCAGGCCCGAGCAAATACATCCCATCTTCATTGCCAGTGTTACAAATTGGATGCAGCACACAGGTCCAAGAACACCAGAGTGTTTAGTGCCGCGTCGATCCACTTGAGCCTTATATGATCCAGCCACAGCGACGTCACGAAGTGCCCCGCAATAGCAGACGCTGGCTAGCACTTTAATCATTCTATAACATATATGACCCCCGGCTTAGTCCTGGCAAAGTCCCCATAGAAACAATGTATTAAAATTCTTGGTTATACGATGCAGTTTCAGGCTGATGACTGAATCTTATGATGACGTTTCGATTTCGTCTGAAAGAAAAGAAAAAAACGTGTTTACTTGAATTAAAGGTCAACCAATGTTCAAGGGTGCAGTATATGAACTTCGTTTTCCTAGTTTGACAAATAAAGAAGTAGAAAGTGAGACAGGATGTCGTTATAAATAGGAAAATTTATTCCCTTGGAAGCTTATGATCTTTTGCATGCGCCTTGATTACGTGTGTATCCAGAATCGTTACCTAAACAAGCTCTAGCCACACGGGGTAGCTTCAGCTGGCTGAAAATTCAATATTTTCACGTTTTCAGTTCGTGGAAACTTTTTTCAGTCGACGTACTGCGAGTGCCTTTGTGGCACTCGCAGTCAGAGGCTTGAGCGCACAAAAGGGCGGGACGCAGCTATTTTCACCTTTTAAAATAACCTTCACGTCAACGTTCATAATAGCAGTGGGGCATCACTAGTTGCACTTCACAAGGCAACAAATTACAGCAAGCAAAGCTCAGTCGCACATAAAGGTAACAAAGGCATTCTACGGGGAACTCTAAGCTTGTCGGCATTCTGTGATGCTGATGACGCTGTGTCCGACCCTTCTGACTGGAGGGTGTTAACAACACGGTTTCAGTTTCATGCGAATGGGATTTCTGGACTCAATTTATCGAGAGAAAGATATGTGTTGGATTCGATTTTTTAGAAGTTGAGAATAAAGATTTCCTCGCACATCCAACGACGTAATGCTGCCGTTCTCAAGAATAATTTTATCTACCTCCCTGGAGAATCACGCGGTTGTGCCGTGGGCTTGTGCAGGTGGTCTGTACCTGCTTTTTGGGTAAGGCTGAGTGTCACTGCCTTTATCTTTAGTTTTTCGATTACATTCGAGTCCACATATAACGGCACCACTTAAAACGAACTTTTGCTTAAAACGAACAATATCCGTGTGACCGTGAAAATATACATTGGTTCAATGGCACAAAATCGCACTTACAACGAACGTCTCTGAGCGCCGCTGATCGTACAGCGAACGGAGTCAGCGGTCTGCCGACTTCCCGGGAAACCAATTTCGACCACCAATGAGGCATCGGCGAAAATCTTATTGTTCCGCGACCCTCCAGTTGCCGCTCTCCCCAACCCATAGAGGAAGGAAAGTTGTTTCCTTCCACCATGCTTCGACAGCTTTTTGTTACGCACCTCTCAGTCCTTTTTCCCCCTGCTACTCTGAGCACCCCGCATCACCAGACGAGGTCCGTGTTTTCACACTGCCACCGATCTTTCGAAGACCAGTCGGCCGTCTACCCTGTTTTTGATCGCTGGTACTGTCTGTCGTTGGCGTCGCCGTCTGGAGTGACCAGACCATTTTCCAACATCGGCGGCCACCGACATTATCCAATAGGTCTGCGTCGAGTGCACGCGCGTACACTACCTCACCGACTCTGATGATTTTCGATTTGTTTCATGTTTAGGACTTGCTCTCGCTCACTTCGCACTCGGCTCAGCATGCCTTCCGCGCGCGTGCGGAAGCGGGAACACGGCTGTTAATTCGCGCGGAATGAATCGCGAAATATCGAAGTTCGTGAGGCCACGCAAGCCCGCCAGCGCGCACCAATCTAGGCGGCCATGCTTTGACTTCTGCGCGCGCAGGCACTCTTTCTAAATTTTTCTATGTGCGAGTTTCGCGGACATTTCAACCAAGCTACCCAACCTGCCTCCTTCTCGTGTGTTTTGGTTTTCAAGATCGCCCTCCCGCCGCGTTCTCCCCTTTTTTTATCGCAACTTCTTGCCCTTCTCTTGCAAGTCTGCTCTTCTCTCCTCTCTTGATCACAACCCCATCGCCCATCTCCTCCGCTCCACAACGCGTGCCACGCTGGCTCGAATTAGTTTCGTTTTCTGACTGGAACGGGCCCACGCGTTCTGTCATGAGTGTCGTGTGCGCGCGTCTTGCTTGCTCTTGGTGTGCGTGTGTGGTCATGATAGCTGACGGCACGACCAGCACGCTTTTTCCTGCCGCTCAACAAAACATCGAAAGTGTGACCGCTTGGCTTGAGCGTAATCCGCGCGTTAGGTGCCACGTTGCAAAGCGCTTGTACGTAGCTGTTGGCTACTTAGCAGCTACCGTACTTACTCGATTCTACCGCGCCCTCGATTGTAACGCGCACCCGATTTTCACCGCGAAAAAAAAAAAACATAAGACATCGATTGCAACGCACACCCATTTTATTCGCTGGCCCGCACGATCACGCCACTCGAAAAAATGACTCCTTTCGGGAGCATCTTCCATTTAAATATGAGGTATGGGCGAAGCTTGTGCCCATCTGATGTGTAACAGAGCATTGCCGTCACTGTAGTTTTACCGTGGACCGATGTCAGCACGCGAACTTGCTTCGCCCCCTTGTTCTCGACGGTTGTGGTGCCAGGCATGTCGAAGTAAAGAGGCGTCTGATCGGCATTCCCGATTTGCCCAAGCAGGTAGCCGTTGTTGCGCCGCAAGTTTAGGACGAACCTCTGAAAACTGTGAAGCTTTTTATCGTATTCCTTCACAAAACTTTTTGCATATGCATGTTCCCCTTCGGAGGAAAAAGCCTTTCCTCTTCATAAAGTTAGTTAGCCAGTACCTGCTCGCTTTAAACTGACTCCGCATTAGACCTTTTTCTAAGACTAATTGCATAGCCCGCACTTGGAGCAGTTCTGTCGTCACGGACCGCTGTGCCGCTCGCTGCTCAAGCACATACTCGCCGAGCAGCTCTTTAATTTGCGTAAACCGACCCTGCTGTGGTCCACTGAAGCCTTTGCGTGAAGCTTTTCTGTCGACAATCTTCTGCTTTTGTTTCCACTGGTCCCGCACACACGTTTCGGGAACTCCGAACGACCGCGATGCGGCCCGATTTCCATCCGTTTCTGCACACGCGATGACTGTTCCTTTAGAATCGGTATCGTCGTGCACTCGAGTTTTTGGAGTTGGCCCTTCCACGCCATCGATGCTGATGCACTGCTAAATGACGAACTCCTCAGCACACGTACGAAGTGCCGCACATGGGAAACACATAGGCAGAAATGGCCAACGCGCCATGCCGACGCACGTAGGGGGCGGCCATTTTGGATTTGCCGATGGCAATAGATTGACCGTAATTTTTTTGTTCGTACTCGATTCTAACGCGCATGCGATTTATGAACTCGCTTAACCGGAAAAAAGGTGCGCGTTAGATTTGAGTAATTACGGTAACTTGCCGCTTCGGGCATCCTGGTATTCAACTGTGGAAGTGGTGAATATTTCGTGGGCGACAGTGACGACTACATGCACGCAAAACTGTTTTCCCGAGGCCGAGTTCGTCAACGTTTGGCCCGATGCCGAGCCTGAAGCTTCCGAATTGCAGCAGGGATTTGTGGCAGCGCGTCGACTCCGACCTGGGAGAGTGGGTGGGACATCTGTTGCGA